TGGCTACCTCTGTCTCTTTCAATCACTTCAGGTACTCCATATCTACGTACCAGCTCCTTCAGAAGCTTACTTGCTGTGACCTTCGTTGTGGCTTTCGACACTGGGTAGGCCTCAGGCCAACCTGAAAAGAGATCAATGTACACCAACACATATTCATACACTCCTACCTTAGGTAGTTGAATATAGTCTAACTGAAAAAAGAGAAGGTAATAGGCGCTCACTATAGAAATAAGTGAAGTAAGCAGCAGTATACAAAACAAGGATTCCCAAAACCTTGTGAAAATAGATAAAATGAAAGAAGAAAATGTAAACCGTGCTTTTTAAAATTAGAAATAATACACACATATACTTGTAGATAATTCCAATGAGTGTGAGATCTCGAAATAAATAAAAGAAAATAAATAATAGTGCAATACAGTAACAATAAACAATTATGTGATGGCGATTGTAGCTTGTGATTCAATCCACTCACATTTATATGAGCTATAACAGAGCTCTGCTGTAGTGCGCTTGGATGGTATAATCCCTGTCTTAGGGTATGGTGTTCCAGTTGGTCCGAGTATTTCGAAGTGCAGTATGCATAATAAAAACAAAAATAGCAGCCAATAGTGAAGTACTGGTAATAAAATTAATACAAATCTGGTAATGTACTTAGAATTTTCTGAGCATGTGACTTACTCTAGTATACACAGCTTAGGTGGTATAATCCCCACCAAGGATATGCAGAATCCAGGAAGTAAATAATTAATATAAAAGTAACTAAAAAGTATACTTTAATATAAACAAAACATAATATCAACATAAAATATATAAAAGAAAGTCCACTTAACGCGTTTCGCCCAATAGGCTTCTTCAGAAATGTAGTAGGAGCTTCCTCTGGGATCCGTTTTTATGTGGTCATAAATTTTCGAAAATACTTCCTGGTGTGCTTCTTCTGGTTTCCTGGTTCTCTGTGGAACGCACGCGTCATACCGGAAGTGACGCGATATACGCGTCATACCAAAAATGACGCGGCGTCATATCTTTAATGCTGTGTTGATCTTGCGCCGCTCGTGGAACGCACGTACCGCTCAGAAGAGCGTGCGTTGCGTTCCAGACGCTTACAAGGGGTGTATGAGCCCCTAAGTAATAGACATATCTATTTGGTAAAAATTACATGGCGGCCATGTTAAATATGGGCATAGAAAAAATAAGTGAAGGGCAATTGACATTTAATTACCTAATTTTTTAGACAGATATTTTGGAAAACGATATTAGTATAGAAAAGCAATATATACTGAAAAACAAGTTTATAAAAATAAATAATACAAGAATAACAAGATAATGCTCACACATATTGATGAATATTTTAAACGTAAAAAAACAGCTTCTTTATGTATAATAATAATATATAGTAATAAAAAGGCATGATAAAATGCATTCTTATTGTGTTCTAAAATAATATAAGCCAATGAGTATTGACATGGTTATTAACTTTGAATATAATATTAGTATAGACATATATAGAGGAGTAGTTGTAAAAAAATAAAAAATGTATAAAAAAATAGTACATAAAAAAGGGGGGGCAAATATGAATAAAAAACTTGTGGATTGTAAATATATATATATATATAAAAAAGATATAAAAAAGGGGGGAACACTATTTTATAAATAATTGTATAGATCAAAATCCACGTTTAGTCCATTTGGATGTAAAGTGTCTAGCTGATATACCCACTGCATTTCTATTCTTCCAATCTTTTTTACAACATCTCCTCCTCTCCAGTGGTTTCTTACAATAGCAATCCCAGTGAATGTGAGGTGTTTAGGATCATTATTATGCATGCAGAAGTGAGCAGGTACAGAGTGGTTATTTAGACCTCTCTCTATATTTCTGCTATTCTTGTTTTTAATGGTCTAATGGTCCTACCTACATATTGTAGGCCGCACGGGCATTCCAGTAGGTATATTACATTTTTACTGTTACATGTAATAACATCCCTAATATTATATACTTTACCAGTAATATTATTTTTAAAATTTATAATATCTCTTCTAGTTGTTTTTGTTTTTTTACACGCCATACAACAATTGCATTTATAAAAACTTTTTTTATCCATAAAATTAATTCATTGTATTGGAGCTCGTCTTCATATAATTTCTTGTTAGGTGCATCTTAAGGTTTGTCAGGAATTATCGTTTTTAAAATATCGTCTTCTTTTAGTAAATGCCAGTGTTTTTTTTATAAAATTCTTTAATTGTTTATTTTTATTATTATAATCTAACACCAGTGTTAGATTATAATAATAAAAATATTATTGCACAAATGCAATTGTTGTATGGCGTGTAAAAAAACAAAAACAACTAGAAGAGATATTATAAATTTTAAAAATAATATTACTGGTAAAGTATATAATATTAGGGATGTTATTACATGTAACAGTAAAAATGTAATATACCTACTGGAATGCCCGTGCGGCCTACAATATGTAGGTAGGACCATTAGACCATTAAAAACAAGAATAGCAGAAATATAGAGAGAGGTCTAAATAACCACTCTGTACCTGCTCACTTCTGCATGCATAATAATGATCCTAAACACCTCACATTCACTGGGATTGCTATTGTAAGAAACCACTGGAGAGGGGGAGATGTTGTAAAAAAGATTGGAAGAATAGAAATGCAGTGGGTATATCAGCTAGACACTTTACATCCAAATGGATTAAACATGGATTTTGATCTATACAATTATTTATAAAATAGTGTTCCCCCCTTTTTTATATCCTTTTTATATATATATATATTTACAATCCACAAGTTTTTTATTCATATTTGCCCCCCCTTTTTTATGTACTATTTTTTTATACATTTTTTATTTTTTTACAACTACTCCTCTATATATGTCTATACTAATATTATATTCAAAGTTAATAACTATGTCAATACTCATTGGCTTATATTATTTTAGAACACAATAAGAATGCATTTTATCATGCCTTTTTATTACTATATATTATTATTATACATAAAGAAGCTGTTTTTTTACGTTTAAAATATTCATCAATATGTGTGAGCATTATCTTGTTATTCTTGTATTATTTATTTTTATAAACTTGTTTTTCAGTATATATTGCTTTTCTATACTAATATCGTTTTCCAAAATATCTGTCTAAAAAATTAGGTAATTAAATGTCAATTGCCCTTCACTTATTTTTTCTATGCCCATATTTAACATGGCCGCCATGTAATTTTTACCAAATAGATATGTCTATTACTTAGGGGCTCATACACCCCTTGTAAGCGTCTGGAACGCAACGCACGCTCTTCTGAGCGGTACGTGTGTTCCACGAGCGGCGCAAGATCAACACAGCATTAAAGATATGACGCCGCGTCATTTTTGGTATGACGCGTATATCGCGTCACTTCCGGTATGACGCGTGCGTTCCACAGAGAACCAGGAAACCAGAAGAAGCACACCAGGAAGTATTTTCGAAAATTTATGACCACATAAAAACGGATCCCAGAGGAAGCTCCTACTACATTTCTGAAGAAGCCTATTGGGCGAAACGCGTTAAGTGGACTTTCTTTTATATATTTTATGTTGATATTATGTTTTGTTTATATTAAAGTATACTTTTTAGTTACTTTTATATTAATTATTTACTTCCTGGATTCTGCATATCCTTGGTGGGGATTATACCACCTAAGCTGTGTATACTAGAGTAAGTCACATGCTCAGAAAATTCTAAGTACATTACCAGATTTTTATTAATTTTATTACCAGTACTTCACTATTGGCTGCTATTTTTGTTTTTATTATGCATACTGCACTTCGAAATACTCGGACCAACTGGAACACCATATCCTAAGACAGGGATTATACCATCCAAGCGCACTACAGCAGAGCTCTGTTATAGCTCATATAAATGTGAGTGGATTGAATCACAAGCTACAATCGCCATCACATAATTGTTTATTGTTACTGTATTGCAATATTATTTATTTTATTTTATTTATTCCGAGATCTCACACTCATTGGAATTATCTACAAGTATATGTGTGTATTATTTATAATTTTACAAAGCGCGGTTTACATTTTCTTCTTTCATTTCGAATATAGTCTATCTGCAGTCTTTGAAACGGGTAAAGTGGCCTTGGTGTGTGCTTACTTGGTGTTTTGACGGCCTGTCCTGGATTGTTTCTAGCACAAATCATGCAAGCTTGGGTGTGTTTAGCTGCTACAATAGTAAATCCGGGTGCTACCCAATGGGTGTTTACTATGCTGTTCATGTGCATCTTGAATAGATGTGTAGGTCCATGGGCAATCTGGGCCATCATGGGGTACAACACTCGTGGCAAACACAGTCTTTTACCTTTCCTCCACATTCTGTCATCATCAGGTTCTGCATCTTGTTTCCTCCAGAGGTCATGTTCTTCCTTGCTTGCCTGTCTTTGTAAGCTCAACAGTATACAGTATATTGTAGTCAACGGCGACATCTGTAAGAACAACTTGTAGGAAGGTATTACCTGTAGAGGAATGAACTTGAATTGCTGCTTGCTTGGCAGCTTCGTCTGCTTTGTGGTTTCCTCTTGAGATTTCATCTGTGATCTTCACGTGAGCTGCCACCTTGATGATGCCTACTTGAGTGGGTAGCAGGATAGCATCCATAAGTGCACTCACGGCTTCAGAATTCTTGATTGGAGTTCCTGCTGAGGTGAGAAAATCACAAGCCCGCCATATAGGGCCAAAATCATGGGCTATACCAAAAGCATATCGAGAGTCTGTATAAATATTAGCAGTCTTACCAGAAGCCATTTTACACGCTTCAGCGAGTGCCTTCAGCTCTGCCTCCTGTGCAGAGCAGTGAGGAGCGAGTGGTTCAGCTTTTATTACCTCATGTGCAGAGACTACAGCATATCCAGTGTGGAAATCACCCTTCTCATCAGCATATCTGGAACCATCTACAAAAAACTCAAAATCTGCATTAGATAATGGAGAATCAATTACATGCAAAAAACCTGCTGTTTCTTGTGCCATTAGTGCTGTACAATCATGGGGTACCTGGGCATCAGCTAACTCATCTGGTGAAAGTGAATTTACAAAAAGATCAGAAGTACAAGTACCATTCCCACTATCCCCACTCCCCTCTTTTAAATCCAGTGGAAGCAATGTAGATGGATTTAACACCATACACCTTTTAAGAGTAACATTAGGTGGCATAAGCAAGGCACATTGCATTCTGAGATGCCTTGCAGTATGTATGTGTTTTGGTTGAACTTGTGACAGGAAGGAAAGAGTGTTTACAATACAAGAGTCCATATTATCGCAACATAGGAGTAGGTCATCGATATACTGCAATAAAATTACGTTATTTGGCCTTTTCCACAATTCAAGAATCTGGGCCATAGCCATGCTGTACATAGTGGGTGAGTTTTGTGCACCCTGTGGCAATACTGTCCAAGTGTACTGCTTGTGTTTATGTGTAAATGCAAATAAAAACTGACTGTCGGGAGCCAGGGGGACACTGAAAAATGCATTTGCCAAGTCAATAACAGTAAATACCTTAGAGGAAGGTGGTATTTGTGCCAACAAGGTGTGTGGGTTGGGAACATTAGGGGCAATGAGTTCAGTTACAGCATTAATTGCCCTCAAATCATGTACCATACGGTAGACCACAGGTTTCCCTTTCTCTTGCTTTTTCTTAATTGGGTACAATGGTGTGTTACAAGGGGAGGTGGTCTGGACAACTACCCCTGCCTGCAGAAACTCTTAAACAGATTGCAAAATAGCATCTTCCTGTGCTGGGCTTAGGGGGTATTGTTTTTGATAGGGAGGTTTGGCTCCGGGCAGGAGATTCACTTTGACTGGGGGCACAGAGAGTCTGCCTGTATCTGTCTTCCCTGTAGCCCATAAGGAATCAGGGACTGAGGACAAGTCAATGGTAGGTTCTGGCACATGGCTGGGCATAGTGAGAGTTGCCAGAACATTTTTAAAAGAGATATAATTTGTTTGTCCTCTAAAGGCACAGACAATGTTACTTTTCCAGTGGGGCTATACTGGATATTTGCACTAAGAGCAGACAGTATATCACTGCCTAGTAGATTAGCAGGGGCATGAGGGCTGACAAGTAGCCTTGTTACAAGGGCAGTAGAGTCATGTAGCTTCAATTTCAGCTTGTGGGTAAGGGGAATGTCATTTTCGATACCATCCACCCCTACACATGATAATACATCATTAGATTTCTCATACGGGAATACATATTTTTCCTGTAACATTGATTTAGCAGCGCCAGTGTCCAACAGGAAAGGGACTATTCGGTCCCCAGGCAGTGTAACATTGATAATGGGTGAGGGTCCTGCAGAGTCAGGGATATTTATGATATGTAGGGACACTGGTTTGCCAATTTCCTATTGGGGTGGGGGGGAGGTGGTGGTGGTTGGCTGTCATGGGAGTTATCATTAGAATCCTGGGGTTTTCTATTTTTAGGAGGACACTTGCAGTTACGTTTAATGTGTCCTTTCCTGCCACAATTCCAGCAGTCTACCTGCCTTCTGTCTCTACCAGCTCTAGGGACAGTTACAGCCATTAGAGGTGTGCTCCTCTTTCTAGTATTTAGATTAGCTTCTACTCCCCTAGCCACCTTCACCAGATCACCATAGGTTAAACTTCACCACTCAGGTCTAGCATTTTGGAGACCAGTCCTTATGGGTATGTGGATACCATCCATGAAGCAGTTAATACGCAGTCTGGTCGAAGTGGTTACAACATCAGTGTAACCCAATGCCTCCCAAGCCATTTGTAGTCTGGTGAATAATGTTTCTACAGATTCATCTTTCCCTTGTAGTATATCTCCTAATTTATGGGCTAGTTCCTCTGTCTTTATCTTAGCCAATTCTCTCATTGCAGTGACATAGCATGCTCCAGATGCAGAGTTGGTTCTAAACCATTCATCTGTTTGCATGTTGCTTTTTCTGAGGTTATCTTCATGGGCATCTGTATATTTAGCAATTAATCTAGCCCAAATGGGACCAGCTTTTAGTGCCACAATCTGTTTTAAATCCATCCAAGTACACTGGTAAGTAGCTTGAATTGTGGATAGAGACTGGACTAGCTAAGGGGGCCTTTTCAACATCTGCCAGCTGCTGTATTATTGCCAGTTGTTCACTGGGTGTCCAGGGCTTATATTCTTCCCAGTATTGGATACCTGAGCTCGGCTGTCTGTTCTCATGGTATACACTCTCACCTTTGGGTATCATGGGAGTAGAAAATTGTGGAGCTAATGGCCCCACTGGGGTGTCTATGGGGGCAACTAGGGGTTCCTTTAAGTCTGGACTACCTTCCTGCTCTAATGAACCCATACCATCCACCCCTACACATGATAATACATCATTAGATTTCTCATACGGGAACACACCATATGAAGTCCCACTGCGTAATATTACTGGAAAGAGAGGTTTTGATCTCCGTAAAAGGGAAATCGCCTGGCCTTTTGGGTCCAAAGGAGTCCCTGCAGTATCCTGGTAAAGGGGTGGGTTTACAAGATTTTTCCCAGGATCTTGCCTACTCTTGGACCCTAGAGGTCCAAAACATTAATAATATGGTACACCTTTCCTGGTGGTTTCTCTACAACCACATTTAGTTAATTCAACAGCAGTATCATGCCATGTTTGTGCGACTTCTACTAAGTCATTATCTTCTAACCATCCTCTGTAATTTGCCATAAATTCACTCCATATATGTGGGTCTAGAGTGCCTTCTGAGGGCATGCCAGCTTTCTTAGGTAACCTCTTAACATTCTTAATTGCTCCTTGTCCTTTGTGATGCTTGACAATAGTCAAAGCCGTAAATCCTCCTTGGGTGCTTTCAGAGCTACCCATCTTAAAACTTGTAAGGGTTAATTACTTCCTTACACATGACAAACTGTACAAAAACATTGTTTTTAAACACTTAGGACCATTGCAGTGGAATTTTCACAGTTTTGTCTTCTATAGTCTCCTAGCATGCCCTCACACCACCTGCTGTATTGTGGGAGCTGTAGTCTCCCAGCATGCCCTCACACCGCCTGCTGTATTGTGGGAGCTGTAGTCTCCCAGCATGCCCTCACACCCCCGGCTGTATTGTGGGAGCTGTAGTCTCCCTGCATGCCCTCACACCGCCTGCTGTATTGTGGGAGCTGTAGTCTCCCAGCATGCCCTCACACCGCCTGCTGTATTGTGGGAGCTGTAGTCTCCCAGCATGCCCTCACACCGCCTGCTGTATTGTGGGAGCTGTAGTCTCCCAGCATGCCCTCACACCGCCTACTGTATTGTGGGAGTTGCAGTCTCCCAGCACGCCCTCACACCGCCTGCTGTATTGTGGGAGCTGTAGTCTCCCAGCACGCCCTCACACCGCCTGCTGTATTGTGGGAGCTGTAGTCTCCCAGCATGCCCTCACACTGCCTGCTGTATTGTGGGAGCTGTAGTCTCCCATCATGCCCTCACACCACCTGCTGTATTGTGGGAGCTGTAGTCTCCCAGCATGCCCTCACACCGCCTGCTGTATTGTGGGAGCTGTAGTCCCAGCATGCACTATAGAGCCATTAACTTCAGAGCACCGTAGCAAAGGGGAGGTATGAGAATCAGAAGTCACCTCTGAAATATCAAAGTTGTTCTATTTGATGTTTAAAATATTGATTTCTTAGTTTTGGGCTAAAAACATAGTTGTCTTATACATGAGGGGCGTCTTTTAGATGACATAATATGGAATGTATATATATATTTGAGTAAATTCCCTCGCTTAATCAACACTCAGCCACAAATATAATAGTTTGCACTTACATGGCTTCTATAAGCCAAGATTGCACTATGACCCCACGCCCTTGGTGCTATCAGCCATTGATGACCCCAGAATAAAGAGGCCAATAGTATGAGCACTTGGCTCTTCTGTCCGAGTGGCATCGCAATGGAAATTAATGAAATACCTTCTTAAAACCTGCTGTAACAGGGCAAGTTTCAAACCTGTCCCATTTTTTTGACATGCCTAGATGCTTTCAAACAGATATCAATGAAAGGGGAGGGACCCCGCAGAACTGAAACCTAATACAGAATTAAAGAGACACACATTTATTCCCATTTGTTTTATGGCTCACCACCCTTCCTCCAGAAAAATCTTAGGGTTTCTAAACTACTGCATATCATTTTCCCCAGGCATAAAAACTGGTGAGGCGTTGCTCCAAGTAGCCCTATAGTTTAGCTCCACTGATTTTGAGGCAGGGTATTTAGATAGCACTTGCCCCTCTGTGCCTACGATACTTTTCATAGAGAAGCATTGAATCGAATAATTCCGTGCGAGTTGTCATGTTTTGTGATTTCCACTGATGCACAAAGCAATCAGGAAGATTGCTGTCTGAGAGCACAGATGGTTCAAATTAGTATTTTTTAAAATAATTTCAAGAGAAGCATATTAAGTGGGAAAGAGGGGACAGCCTGTTAACCACTAAAGCTCCTCAAATGCTGTGAGAATGATTTTGTAAAATGCAAATTAAGGGTTTTACGAGTTTTGTGTATTGAATCCTTCTTCTGAATACCAGAAATGTGACAAACCATTGCCTCCACCTTTTTACACGTATTGCAGCAAATAGTTTTATTTCCAATGCAACATTGTTAGCGGAATCATCTATAAACATCTTCTCTTTTCATCTAGAGATTCATACTGGATTTTCTTACTACAGCCCGTCGTCTGGTCGCTGCTACCATTTTAGAAATCTAAAGGAGGAAGAGTTTAAAGCAAGAGGTCTTATGTACCACCATGAGGACAGAGAAAGGTAAGTGCGGATTGCCTTTCATCTAATCACCTGATTCTCTTATCCTGTCTCTGCTGGACCTTCCCCACAGCTTCTCATATCAAGAAAACATTCCATGTTTAATCTAGCTAGCAGATATATGCAATTTGTTTCGTTCCCAATGTGAATTCGGACATTTGGATTCTTCCAAATGTCCAAAGTGCCGGATTGCCGAAGTCTGAATTTCGGAAGTGCCGAACCGAACTGAATTGCCGAATTAGATGCGTAAAAACACTTTTCTTTGTGTTTGCATATATACTTGCACTGTCACTTTAAATTGCACGGGTAGTGGAGATAGTTATAGTATCTCTTTATAAGTGGCAATATACATTTGTAAGAATGCTACTGACATTTGTGGGGTTTTTCCCTATCTCCACATAACTAGGTACTTACAATGTGTATTTTCATCATGTTCTGTTTTAAATTGTACTTATAGTATGTATTCTCATCATGTTCTGTTTT